CCGAACCGCAGCACCGCCACCCGAGGCACAGGCCGCGCCACCACGTGCGCGGCTACGAGAGCCAAGACCTGGCTCCAGGGCTGGCCCCGCAGCTGGCGCCAGCAGCCGCGATATTACAGTAAGCAGACATGCTGCTGAACCGGCTGCGGAGTCACCTGCATCGAGCGGAGCCGGTCGCTCGGACGATCGCAGATGAGAGCCAGACGTGGCCGGCAGCATGGGGGGGATCCACCTCCACCACCACCTGCGGGTTACCCTGCTGCGCGCCCACGACTCCCAGACTGGTCGAGGTTCGAGGTCCAAATCAGCTCACAGAACTGACGATGCCTTGACCCAAGCGTGGTAACACGCGAGTTGCGGAAACTACACTTGCGATGGTTCCATGCTAAAGAGCGTAAGACGAGACTCATCTGAACCAAAGCTGGTCTGGACAGCGTTAGGCTCAACCTGGTCAGAAGGCGTATGTGACGCATGTCGGGGGTGCAGGGCTTGGGATAAGCCAGGGCATACCGTTATGCCATATACTGCAATACCTGGCAAGTTCAACGAAGAAGTCGATCGAATGCGACCTGATGTTTTACAAACAGCAATATAGTACATGCAATTTCGTTTGTCGCTGCATTCGATATGCTACTGGAGCGAAAATTCCAGACAAAACAATGACCAGTGGTTCAGATGCGTATCTTCAGTGCTGGATGCAGTTCGGACCTGCTAAGGTACTCCGATGGGGAGGGTGCCCGCAATAACGACACTGCAAAGGCGGTCTTCAAGGCAAAAGGCACTGAGCTGAGGACGCGCGCGCGTGGACAACGCGCTAGGGCAACTGAAGCCAGACATGGCATATTACTCCATCTACTTCAAGTCATGGAAAGTGATTTCAAAAAGTTAGATATACCTCTTGTATTCACTCGACTGCTGCACGAAGCCCTGTGTGCCGCCAGTGCGTTCACCTTGTATAATGAGGTCTCTCCATATAACGCTTTGTTTGGACGGCAACCGGCAATGCGTCCTGACCTGCCTGTTCAGGACCGAACAGCCGACAGAGACGTCCGATCATCCTCGCGAACAGGCGATGCGCCGGGCATGCATTGAAGCTACCACACAGGCTACGGCAGTAGCCAAGACTAATCGTGCATTACGTACTAAGACAACCATTACCGGTCAGCATTACTACGATGAAGGAGATTTGGTCGACTATCATCGCCCCGCAGCTACGAAGGGCGATTGGGGAGGCTGGAGTGGTCCGTTCCCGGTTGTACGGAATGACCCCGGCAGGGGTCAAGTCATTACTCGAGTGGAAAATTGCGATGTACAAGTCCAACGCGGCGACGCACGACATTCACTTTACATCGAAGTTTTGATAGCCCGAGAGATAGGCTCCGACAACACTGCGCTGCGGACAGTGTTGACAGTGTCTACCTGCGGGGGGACCTGATACGACGTCTGGCTATGTTCCCACCAACAAGGGAACGCTTCAGATGACCAGTGCGAGCCGACTATCTCCCAAAGTACACTTAACTCCACAATGCCCTATCAGAAATTTCTTCCGCATCGAGAATCTAGTTTCTGTTAGGTCAGCAAAGAGTATTCGCGATCTCCGAGGGCTTATGCTGACAGCTGCACACTGGTACATCACGACAACGGCGTGAAGCCAGGCTTCCACTACAATGAAGCAGAAGGCACTGCCCTGGATATACATGATAGAACTGGTTCAGCACATTCGAGGATCATCATGTGCCGAAAGTCCACTAAACCTCAAGCGGGCTTCGACTAAGATGACAAAGTTTGAGGAACCTGGCGGACGCACCGACGCAAGACGACAACGCCAGAGAGGCCCCAGAAGTCGAACCAGCACAGGTGGATGGACGGTTCCCTACGATCAATGAGGAATCCGAAGAGGACCTTGAGGCACATATATTTGGAGGTGTGGTGCACAGAAGTAAGTGAAGACAGGGAACTAGCGGAGGCAACTCCATTAGATGACCTTTACACTGTACCCACACATATGATCATTGACAAAAGTACGCTGGTCACGGTAGCTGGAGAACAGCGGGGGCACTTGCCTACGTGGGGTCATCCACGCGACTCCGACATCGAGGAGGCGCGCCATGCTCCAATGGCTCCGCGGCGGAAGACCACAGTTACGGATTGGACTCGGACGAACATGGTCAATATATGGAACTCTGCTTCACTGCAGAAATGTCAAAGGTGGCCATATCCGAACAGCAGCATAGGAGATCAGATGTCGACCGCGTGACCACCATGCGAGTATATGTCACCGCTGCCGCAGAACGAGCCGCGGTCGTCGAGGAAGACGACCTCCTCGCGAAGGCCGACAGTCAGGCGAATCCCGTCAAGGTACCAAAGACCCTCTATCTTGAACTCAAGACATGGCTTGACAACGAGTGTTTCGATATTCAATATAAATCTAAAGCGCCAGACATCATGATATCGAGGTGCGTATATATGAGGAAGTCCGCGAAGAATGAGAAGGGCGAGATGGAGCGCGCCACCAGACTGCGCCCGGAATTCCGGGGGCTCGTGGACCCGGAGGCTTTCGATGCGGAAACGCTCTCTGGAACAGCGCGGCGGCCGAGCCAGAGATTGCTCGCAAGCGCGGCAGCGTGCAAGAAGCAATGGATCATTGCTTCCTTTGACATCAACATGGCTTTCCTGAGAGGGTTAACCTATCAGGAATTTGCCGAGGCAGCCGGTGACAAGGAACGCGTGGCGTGCTTTACCCGGCCGCCTGGGTCGGCAACGGCGTTTCGATTCTTTCCAGGATTCGAGCACTTTGACGAGTCGAAGCGCTGCTTGCGGCGCCTCAAGCCAGGCACCGGCACCAAGGATGCACCCAGAGCCTTCTCACTGAAGCTCAGAAGGGCCACGCGAGACTTTGGTCTCAGACCCGCGTCCTGCGACGAGGAATTCGAGACAAGCAGTGCCCTTTTCAGAGCCTAACATGTTGATGATATCCATATGGCCGGCACTGAGGATACCGTCGACAAGCGCGTCAAGTGCGTCGGGGGCACCTTTGGCGAGTGCAAACTGAACATACATTGGCCAATTGCGATGTGACGTGCACAAAAGATGGGGGCGGCAATGTTACACTGGACCAATATGAATAACATCTTACAGCTCCGTCCTATCCAACATCCTGAACTCACCGGCGCCGACGCTGACTCCAAAGCATCCAGGGTGGTTGCTGACATGTTCGTCAGCCTCAGAGGCGCGCTCGCTTACGCATTAATCACGGAAGCGCGGTCGATGGCATATGTGGTCTCTCTACAACGCGCCCAAGAACCGACCAATATTCAAGTGCGGCGACTGAGCGCGATTACCTGGAAGCTGCATGCCTTCCCCATGAAGTTCATCTATCAATCGATGACTCAAATGGGCGAAGGTGACCTGCGCGGCGACTGGCTATCGACGCCTGAGTGGGGACGCCGACGACGACGTCATAGACTACGGTATTCGCGGGGCAAACCTACTACGCCGTGAAAACACGCCATCCGGTCAGCCTGTCGTCCACTTGACCGATGCGCATTGCAAATCTCATCGCTTGCAGGTTCGCTCAAGCTACGCAGCAGGAACACAACTTGTAGGACTGCTGTCCCACGAGTGACTCCGCGCGAGCTCCATGCAGGGCCATCGACACCCACTCAGTTGAAAGATATACTGGAGTTCGGTGGCCGGAGCATTCAGGCCACTTTGACCATCGATGCTGAATATGTTTTAAATCCTTGTCAAGCAAAGACAAACCAACAACCGACTGAGTGTAATCTTTTAGGGCACATCAGTTGGATACGACAGATGATGGAGCGAGGAATCGCGCACAGCATCCAGTGGTGTGACACTCACGACATGACCGCGGACGGTCGCACAACGGGGAGCATTGACAGAGATATGCTCCTACATGCCACGGGAGGCACGCGATCCTTCATGCATGATTTAAAGCGTCATTATCCATATCGGGCTGGCCAAACAACATCGTCTGAGGCCACCTCAGCTCTGTGCTCGCAAGGCAACTTGCTTGCGGGTTCGCCTTCTTCACGAATCCGCCTTTTGCTGCCTTTTGTGTACATAGTGTTTGCTGTATAGGGGCGGCGGACTCACTTTTCGCCCCCCTTCCCCCCGACTCTAGATGGGACAAAGGTGAGAGATAGCGAGCGTTTGTCGCGGCCGTTTGTGTTCAAGCGGCCGGCCGCCAACATATGACTGTGCCTCACTGCGAGGCATAGTATTTGCCATCGAGGCCGAAGACACTCTTCGCTTGAGATGGCCCGTCGCTCCCGCGACGGCCTCTTTCGACTGGGACTATCGTTGCTACGATACAACAGAGGAGGAGCTGCGCTTCGCCTAAGGCGTAGATTCTGACGGGCCTACCAGCCCCTTTTCAAACTAGTACACCTTTGCGCCACATTCTCGAGCTTGGCCAGTCTCCTCCCGATGCAGATTTTTCTGTGCAGCGGCAGGTTCCGGCGGGTCGTTCCGTGTTTTGACCCTGCCTCTTTGGGTGCGAAGTGACGGTCGAGCCGCCCAACGCGCGTCGCTCGGTCCTTCGTGCGGGCCTTCCGCCGCACTGCGCGCGCGCAGCGCACACCTTCGTGCGCTTCGTGCAGTGCCGCCTCGCCGCCAGCCTGCGGGCGGTTGCAGCGTCATGGCCAGCGCTGCCAGGGGAGTTGCGGAGCGCACTCGATCTGCGCATCCCTCTCTGGACCGGTTCCCCTTTTTCTCCCCTCGTGTTCCTTCTCTCCCCCTCTTCCCGCCCATCCATCATCTCTTTTCCCTTCTTCATTCCTCCTCCCCCACCTCTTTGCCTGATCGTCGTCGTCGTCGTCGTCTTCTTCCTTCGGCGACAGTGCCACGTCCTCCGCCCTCCTTCCTAATCTTCCTCCTCGGGGGCCTGGTGAAGGGCCGCTTGCACTGTACGGTAGTTCCGCCCGCCGTCCTCTTCCTCTCTCCGTTCCCCCCTCGCCCTCCTCCCCCTACTCCGTCCTCTTCCCTTCTCCCTCTACGCCCCTCCTCCTCCGTACCTCGCGTCAGCGTCCTTTTCCCCCTCGCCCCGCGGGCGCGCTGAAGGACAGCTTGCACAATGCGGTGGTGGCGCACCTTCTGCAGACAGGGCGCGCCCCGCCCCCTGGCCAACGATGCGGATCCTCCACCCCCCATCGGCCTCGTCGTCCCCCTCGGCCTCGCCTTCCTGCCGTTGAAATCGCATCTGGGACCCCTCTTGGAGCGCTCTTGGAACGCTCTTGGGGCTGCCTGGGGACCCTCTTGGGTTCCTCCTGGGGCTCTCTTGCGCCCTCTTGGAGCCATCTTGAAGCCTCGGAGGGCCGTCGAAAGCGAAAAGGCGAGATGTCAAAGCCATTGGTTCCCCAGGTGTTGGAAAGGTTGTGGCATCTTAGATGGCTTTCTTGGGAGGCTCCGTGGCCACGTGGAGCCACCTTGGGGCGGTCTTTGGGCCTCTTGGAGCATGTTGGGAGCAATATTGAGGTACCTTGAGCCATCTTGGAGGTCATATTCGGCTCTCTGAGGCCTTTTGGAGCCACCTTGGACCAATACATGCCCTCTGACACCTCGCGGCCCCTGCCCTCCAGACCCAGGTGACGGGGTACGGGAGGGGTCAAGACACCCTCCCCGCCCGCACGCCGTCTCGCTCACTCCCACCCGCCCTCACAACACAAAGTAGCACCCTAGCCGCAGCATGTTCAGCGGTCGTCTTTGGATGGGCAGCTACTGGGAACCAAACCAGACCCTAGTACGCGACGCTGGGGCGAGGTGCGCCACGCGTGCCAGGAGCGCCACGCGCGTCAGGTGCGCCAGGGACCTCTGGGGGCCAGGCGTGTCAGACACGCCTGGTACTCCAGATGCGCCACGTGTTTCACGTGCGCCATGTGTGCCGCATGCTCCAGCTGCGCCAGGTGCGCCGCGATCGGGGCACGCGCAGAGTGTGCCAGGTGCGCCCGCGCAAGTGACAGTATACATCGGAATGAATGTCGGCCCCCACCATCCTTGTCGAAACCAATGCACCATTCGCGGGGGGGTGGCCATCATTGTGCTTGGTGGGCCTGCACAGCAGGCAATCTGCCAGCACCCCCGTCGTCCTGGTCAAAAACCACTGCAAAGTGATCGCGGGGTGCCCACGCATGATACAGATTTTACCTCGACGTGCACTTAGTATTCATTGATTGACAGGGCTGGTGGCCCTGCGCACAGCAGGCAATATGCGGGCGCCCCGCCGTCCTTGCCACAAAAACTACAAAGTGCTCGCGAGGCCCTGAACATGACCCAAGCTCTTGATTCAAGGTGCATGTTACAGATGTTGTTTGACAGAGATGGTGGGGGTGGGGTCGTCAGGAGTCCCCGTTGGCTGCCCGTCGCTTTGGTGATGGGAGTATGTTTTAGCAGGGCACAGTCATGAATCCTTCCCCGAATGGAAGAGGCTCATTAGTGCTAGGAATAGAGGACGGACGATGGACAGGCTCATTAATGGTCATTACTGTTAGGTTCATTACTTCGACAGGGAAGATGGAGAGGCGGACACCCGCTAAAATCAGCGTCTGCGCCCGTGGCCAGCCAGCCTCTTCGACTGCCGTGCGGGGGGGGGTCACGGCAGCAGACCAGACACGTGGAAGCCGTTGGGTGGTTCTGCGGGAGGCTTGGGTGCGCGCATGGGAGGCCTTGGGGCGTTTCTGGAAAGGCGTGCTGATGCACCGCCAACGTCGACGCTGCAACGCAGGCGCATCGCCGACGCATCGCCGATGTATCGGCGATGCGGCGCGGTCCTCCGACCCCATCTAGTCCGACCCCATCTGGGAGGTCTCTACATAGGTATCTGGATGTTGTCCATCCGAGAAAGCCCCTGGAAGGTTCCTGGGTGAGGCGTGTCGGATCTGAGAAGAACCACAGAAGCACCTTGCAGGCGAGTGGTCTCGAGCGGGCGGCCAGAGCTAATGAACCAACAAGCGCACTTCGAGGGGCGCGCGGCGCAACCCACAGACGTTGGCGTATCATTCTGAACCTCCGTGAAAGCATCCTTGCCACTCTCAGACTGCGTTACGTTGCTGCGTTGCCACTTCGGGGGGCTCCGTCGGTCCTGCAAATGGCCGCGATCTCTCGTGTCCGACGCGGGGTCTCCGCGGATTCGAGGCGGTTTCGATTTGGCATCCAACGCGCATTCGACGTGGATCAGTAGATTCGGCGCGAATGGCGACGCGATGAGACAGACAAGGTCTCCCGAATATGCGTCATCAGTTACGTTCTGGGGGATCTTTGCTACATAGAAATTTTCCTGGCGGCGCCTCATCACCCCGCCGTCCTCCAGCCACCTCGTCTTCCTCCCGCGCGCGCATGGGATGATTCCTCTCGCTTCGCGGGGTGCACGTCCGGAGCACGTACAGTCACGTCGTCGTGGGGCCTCTTGGGAGCCTCTTGGGGGCCTCCTGGAGGCCTCCTGGGAGTTTCTTTGGGCCTCTTGGGGGCTTCTTTGGGGCCTTTCCCCCCTCCCTCCTTTTCATACACCCTCCCCATCTTCCCTTCCAGCGCCGGCTCTAATCATGGGCGCCGCAGTGACCAACTTCCACCTGGCTGGCGCTGCGCCGCAGTTCGCCCAGAGGGGGGCAAATAACATTACACTCCAGTCGCTGTGTGGTCTTTGGGGGTTTTGGGGGGGCCTTTTGGAGGCTTCTGGGGGGCTTCTTGGGGGCCTCTTGGGGGCCTCTTGGGGTCTCTTGGGGGCGTCTTGGGCCGTCTTGGGGCGTTTTTGCGCCGTTTCGCCCCTTCGGAGGCTGTCTTGGGGGCCTCTCGCGGCCGCGTTGGAGCCCTCTTGGGGTCCTCTTGGGCCGTCTTCGCGGCCTGTTGGAACGTTCTGGGGGGCCTCTTTGGGCCGTTTTGGGGCCCTCTTGGGCCGTCTTGGGGTCCTCTTGGGGGCTTTTTGGTGCGATTCTGGAAAGCTGCTTGGGCCGTCATGGATTCTGGAAAGTCGAAAAAAAGCGACAACGCTAAGATACGGCAGAAACCATAGGAAACATTTCGGCCTCTGGAGGCGCAGTTGTGGGCGCTCTTGGGGCCCTCTTGGGCCGTCCGTCCTTGGGGCGTTGGGGGCTCTCTTGGGGGCCTCATGGGCTCCCATTGGGAATATATTGGGCCGTCTTGGGCCCTCTTGCGCCATCTTGGGCCATTTTGAGGACCTCTTGGAGCCCCCAGAGGCCCAAGAGGCCGAAATTGCTCATTTTCCATACGTTTTTGTAAGTTTTCAGGGCCCCAGAAAGAGGCGGCCAGTTTGGTACGGCGCTGTGGCGCGGCTCCCATTTTTTGTATAAATAAACAAATGCTGCAAGTATGGAATCGTTGGGTACATTGGATACGTTGCATTAAGGCGTTCGCCGAAAAACGCTGCCGCTCAGCACGTCACCTCCGGACGTGGATTCTTTGGTTTACGCCGCGCCGCCGACCCCTAGGGGAACTGGTGGTTGTGGCCGGTTTCTCCTGAGAGCCGCTTGGGCGCCTTTGGGGAACTTTTGGTGCCCTTTTGGGCACTTCGTGGGCGCCTATGGAGGGCCTCTTGGAGCTTCGTGGAGGGTTCTCACGGGTCTCGAGTAGGGGGAGGGCTCGACATGCCGGCTCGGGTTCCCTTCTGGGGCCTTTCTTGCAGCTGTCCAGGGGCTCTTTTGGACCACGCTGGAGGCCTCTGAGGCCGTCGTCGGCAGCAGTTGCTTCTGCGGCAGACATGTTCAAAGTTCGCCATGTTCGCATATAGGGGAATAGAAGAGAACCCACGTGTACGAACGGCGGGGATATGTTTTAATTCCACGATAATGATTACCGAAGACGCCTACGGCGAATCACCGCCGCCCCCTGTCCTTGGGGAAGCGCCTATGTGTCCGACAGCTGGGCTAGAGCTTGGCCAAGCTATCGGACCATGTTTTCCCCGAGTCGGACGGAAAGGTTTCGGGGAACGCGGTAGTGGAGGAAGGGGAGGAAAAGGAGAATAAGGACACAGGAGAAGGGGCAGGATGCCTTGTTCGGAGCCTCTTGAGGCACTCGTGGGCTCGATTGGACCATCTTGGGACCGTCTTGGAGGCCATCTTGGGCCTACCTTGGGCTCTCTTGGGGCTCTTGAGGGCATTTTGGAGCCCTTTTGGGGCTTCTCGGGAGCTTCTTTGGCCGTCTTATGGCGTTTCTGGCCCGTCTGACGCCGTCGGGATCCGTCTTGGGGGCCTCTCTGAACCGACTTGGGGCCCTCGTCTGGAGAGAAAACCTTTGCAACCACCTCTGGGCAATCCTCCCGGGGCCCCAACGGGACGCGCCGGAGCCCCAGGGGGAGTTCTTCTGGAAAAAGAACCAAAACCGAAATCGTCTAGCACGCCAGGCACCCCTGTGATGAATCGACAGGGGGCCGCGGATCGACTAGCCTTCGGCGCATCCCGCCACCGCGCCCGGGCTGCGGGTCGGAGGCCACGCGGGTGGCGTCCCGGGCGCGTTTTGGAAGCAGTTTTTGGATATCCTGAGAGCCTCCTGGGGCCCTCGTAGGAGCTTTGTGGAGCCTCGCGGAGCTCCCTGGGAGCCTGTTGGGGGCTCCTTGAGACAACTGGGCGGCGGTTCGGGTTAGAAGGCTCGGAATGTCCGTCAGTCGGAAACTGGAACATATACATCACCAGTGGCGGGCTGTTTTTCAGTCCCAGGACTTTTTGAGGGTCGGCGACAACGCTGGGGTGGTGTTGTGAATACTTTGGTTCCCCGAGTTCCCGGGAAACAGCGGAACATGTGTGCAACAGGATCCCGTATACACCGAGATCCGTTCTCCTGTGCAAATTTCAGTGCAGGACTTGAAAAAGCGTCGGTGTCTATAAAGAGTTCGGTTCCCTAGTCTGGGTTCCCCCTCTGAACCCACTCTTGGGGCTGTCGCGGGGCTCTCCTTGGCCGTCGTGGAGGCTTTTTGAGTGGTCTTGGGGCCCTCTTGGGTCATCTGAGAGCCCTCTTGCGGCTAACTTGGGCAGTCTTGGGGCGACCCAGGAGGCTTCTTGGGCTGTCTTGGACGTTGCGATCACACAAGAGGCGAATGTGCTAAACATGTTGGTTTTCGAATGGAGATGGGGCGATGTTTGCTCTGTGAGCCCGTCTTGGGACACCATTTGAGGGCTTCCCGGACCGTCTTTGGGGCCTCTTGGGCCGTCTGGAGGCCAGCGTGGGCGTTTTCGATCGATCTTTTGGCGGCTCGTGGCCCTCGTGGACCATCGAGGGGGTCTCTTGGTGCTCTCTTGGCCTGTGTTGGGACCCTCTGTCCCCCCGTGACGCGTTCGGGCCCTCCCTGGGGACCCCCCCCCTCCAAATCGACCCGACCGGGCTCCCGTGGTAGGGGTTTGGGAGGGGGAAGCAGCATGTCACACGCCGATGAACCCCAAGGGGTCGGCGGTTTGGGAGGATGAGGAAGCAGGAGGGAGAGAAGAGTAGGAGGAGGAGGAGGAGGAGGAGGAGGAGGAGGAGGAGGAGGAGGAGGAATGGGAGGAAATTCGACAACGAGGAACAGTAGGGAGAAGGAGGAAGGGGAGAAAGAGACGTGAGGAGGAGGAGGAGGAGGAGGAGGAGGAGGAGGAGGAGGGATGGGCGGAGAAGGAGGAGGAGGAGGAGGACGAAGAGGAGGAGAAGGTCTGTGGATACCTCCCGAGGTCTCATCCAAACATCTTGATCCTCTTCCCGCTTGCTCGCTCGCTCGACCTGCAGCCATCTGTCGGATTGTTGCCTATCAAACTCCTACTGCTCCTGATGCTTCTCCTGCTGCTGCTGATCCCGCTTCTGCTCCTTCTCCTGCTCCTCCTCCCGCTCCTCCCTCGCCCCGTCGTGCTCCTCCCCTCTGCTCCCGCGCTCCGCAGTGGGGAGACCATACTGACAGCGCTGAACCACCCCGTCAGCGGTTCGCAGGAGGTCCGCTCCACCTGGGCCGAGCTGAAGGCCGAGGGCAGGACTGCCAGCGGCCTGCCGAGATGGGGAGGCGGTGGTGGGGGGTCGTCGACGGAAGCAGCGGCCGCGGGAACGCCAGGGTGTCAGCGCCACGCTGGGCGCCCCGCCTGGAGGGCGGCATTGGAAAGGCTCCTCGGGTTCGCCGCGGCGGACGTGGACCGCGCTCGGGACCGCTCCAGCCGCCACCGAGGCGCGCGTCGCCGAAGGGCGCGTGGCCGGTGGCAGGGGCACCGCCGCTGCAGGGTGACGGCATCCAGCGAACTGTAAGCTTCTCCACGGCTGTCCGTAATGATGGGGCGTGCATCGTGCTTCGGTTTTGTCTTGGCACCAGCGGATCCTGTCGACGCCGTGCCGGGCGCTGGACCCCATCCTCTGGGCTGGACGGACCAGGTGGAGAGGCTGTCCTGCGCAGCCTGGAACGCACCTCCTCAGGCTCGGGGCCCTCGACCAGGTTGGCCTGGCCCTGCTCCAACTGGGCGACTACCCACGGCGTTCGCGACGTTCGCGGGCGCCTAGCACGGCGAGGAGGCCGAAGACACGATTTGGCCGAAAGTCCCTGTCGACGGAGACGTCGCACCCTGCGGCGGATCTTCAACGACCGCGCACTTGCCTTCTTGCTTGGCCATGGCCTCAAACTGTTCCAGGGTGGACTGTGCTTTTTGGCGGTCATGCGCCAGCGTCTGGCGGTGCAGCGAGGCCGCGTTCAGGGTGTCACTGGCACGCTCCAGGCGCATGCCAGACCGCTCCACGGTTGTGCGCCGATTCCTTGCACGCTCCTTGGTGGGGTCTTCGAACGGTCACATGAACTGCCAGTCGGCAGTGCGAGCTGCATCTGGACTCATCTCCGGCTGGGTGGCGATTCACTTCTCGAGTGCCGTGATGGCATCTTGCACGTGGGAACGATGCTTGGCCCGTTCGGCCGGCGACAGTCTGCCGTGCTGGACTGCCGTGCTCCTGGTCTGCCGTGCTGGTGTGGTCTGCCGCGGAAGCTGTGGGTGCCCAAAGCCAGAAAAAAAAGAGAGAAGAGAACAAGAGAGAAAAGGGGCAGGCCACCTTGGGCCCCACCCCAGGACCCACAAGGCCCCACCCACCCAGGGGGCCCAGCGGGGAACGGGCCAGAGCCTCGGAGCCCCACGGGGCCACACGCCTGGGGGGCGGAAGGAGCGCGTCAGCGCCTCGCATGACCTTTTGGCTCTGCGGAGGCCCGCTGGAAGTGCTGCCGCCACAGAGGGCTGGCAGCGCGAAGTCCTCGCACGAGCGGCCAGCCGCCGCAAGATCTCCACCCCTCAGCTCACGGCTCAGGGGGGCCCACGAGGCGCCTCCGCTTGCGCTCCTTCGCCGCCACGGCCTCCTCCGCCCAGTCGGCCAGGCCACCCTCGTCCAGGCCGAAAGCCTGCATGGCCTCTGGGCGGCTGATGGCGGCCTCGGCCGTCCCGATGGGAGCCGCGGCCGCCGCTGGACGGCGCACTGGGGCGGCGGCCGCCCGCAGCCCACCCGCCGGTGACGAGCTCGACGCGCGGGAGGTGGCCGTCCCTCCC